AGCGGCGTCCACGAACGAACCATGAAAAATGTTGCGGTGGAACCAGTTTTTTCAGCTGGCATGGTTCCAGAACGTATTAGAGAGCAGGTTATATCACTTTAGCTAACTCTCGTTGGGAAAATCATGCCTGTTGGGGTGATTTTTGAGCAAAACCCCAACATGAAGCGACTGAAAACCAAGAATTTCAACCAAGTCTTTGTTCATCGACTTTCCTCAAAGCTGCATCAGAGTGAACATGACAAGTGTCACTTTTGCTACCTTTTTAATAAATCATCTTTGTGTAAGTGTTTATGACCAAATTCCAAAAGAATTACTGAGAAAATAAAAGGATATGAAACAAATCTGTTTGAGGATATGAAGTAAATACAGCTGTTTGAAAAAAGAGATCTATAAAGTTATAATGCAAGTTTTCAATTTATTCAAATAGCTATCAGTTTTGCGAGGAGTCAAACATAAGAAATCCTCATCAATTTGGAAAGTGAGATTACGTTTCTTTTAATGACGCTAGAGTAATATAGGTCGTAACATAAGTTTACACTTTTTTCACCTTCCTCTAGAAACTCTAGAAACTTTAGCAAAGTATAATATTTAGCACATACAGTCGAATCATTTCATGTGATCATGTGTGTCACCGCACACACTGTTCACATTTGGCGTCCTTATCCTGAAATTACAAACGCAAAAACGCGAGAGACCGACCGATTGTTACGGCTTGCATCACTTTGTGAAAATTGTGAAACAAAACGAAGAAAAAGGATGAAGAAAACATCGGAAACGCTAGCAGAAGGGCTGTCTGTTCCTAAAATCCAGGATGAGGACGCCAAAGGTGCACAATATGTGCAGTGACACACATGATCATATGAAATGATTCGACTGTATAATCAATGGACAACGAACTCTATTGGCATCATTTCCGCCTTGACAGACATACATTACTGTAAATTAAATACAATTCTTTGACGGCAGTTAAATCTCCATTTTATTCTTTTTCCTTCAAGAATTCACTCATTCTTGTTTTTTATGCTCTCAGATTTTTCATTGATTTATGTTGAATTCAGTAGTAATATGGAGACAATTTGGAAGTCTATGCTGTTCAATAACGCAAGTTAAAAAAATTTGCAAAAAATAATTCAGAAAAATTCTGAAAATTTAGAAATAGGAATTTCCATGTATGACATTTGGATATTGGAAAAATACAACCACCAACTCAATTTGGAGTTGAGAAATAATCATTTGGGAAAATCATGAACGTTTTTCCCTTAAAGTGTAGTAAGGCTTATGTTACGACCTAATAGATCAGATTGTGAAGCAGATTTTTCAGAATGCTTTATTTGGAAACCACATGACTGGCCTGTACACATCAGTGCGCTTTCAATGATAAGAAAAAGAATTTGCAGTCACTGAATTCCTCAAGAGTTTTGCGAAGATCACATGAGAGCTAGATATACAAAGTGCAGAATTTGAGTTTTCTAAAGTGAAAGTCGAAAGGTTTCAACCTTTGCCGCATGCATCGAGCAGTGTGCGTTGTTTACAAGGAATGGTTTGCGAGGTTTTCAGTCGTTCCACAGCGCAAACTATCTTGTTAGGTTGCTATAGTGATTGTCAGTTGTTCCGTTCGTGTTTGTTTACTGCACTGTGTTGGTGAGATTGTTCAATATGTGTTGAACAACATACCATTCAGGCCCAAGGCATACCTTCTGCGATTTCGCGAAATCGCCACATCCTCGCGACTTGGCGATTTACCAGATATCTAGAGTTCAAGCATGCGAGGCTCTCAGATGCATGGATGGTCGAATCTGTAAACTGTAACAAACGTAGCAAGTCTGGCCCAAAAAGTGCGTTTACGACCAGCTATGGAGAGTCCTTGCAGTGCCAAATCGCGCGGCGACTAAAATCGCGTGAGATGTGCCTTAGGCCTCAGAAATTATGGTTACATACAATACCGGTCGTAATTTTGAGCAAACCGCACAGTCGCCAGATTCGTGCGACATTACCGTAGCGTGGCCATATTTCGCTTCAGAGTGGACCGACTCAGCTCGGCGCTGCGCATCTTCTGATATAGAAGAGCCCTGCTGCACACAGTAGGAGGTCAGACTCCAAATCGTTTCAAACTTTTGCTTACTGTAGGTTGTCCAGTGAGTGCAATGAATAAGCGCACTGAGTAACTTCCCGCAAGCAAAAATATGAAACGAATCGTAGAATCTGATCTCCTACTGTGTCCAAGCGGGCGCTTCTATATATCACAAGATGCGCCGCGCTGAACTGAGTCGAATGGTAATTTGATTAAAAATTTCTCCACTCTGAAGCAAAATATGGCCAAGTTACGGTGATCTCACATGAATCGGGCATTTGTGTGTCGTTTTTTCAAAATGACGAGCGAGCTATATTGTAAAGCCTCGGACAGACTTCACGCGACTTAATCGTCGCGATCTAATCGCAAAGATTTCCATTCATTTTCATTTCACATTCAAAAACTTCGGGCTGGAAAAGTATCACAATCGAATGCAAGCTGATCGGCATGGAATGATGTTGTAACAGTCGTCTCGTCGCGACTCAGTCGCGACGATCAAATTATGCCCGGGGCCCAACGTGAATTACGTCCTAATTAGCATCCACTTTCAAGCTTACATCCTCGAATGTCAAATCGACACTCAAACTTTTGAAAATCACTGTTATGCACAGCTAGAACTCTTACCTACCTTCGTCTCTTATCATTCATAAACCAGGGTCAAGCAAGAGGTGTGGCACACGATCGCTGGTTACGACCTCCCCCCCCCCTCTTATTGCTGTCTCAATAAGACCCCCTGAAAACTATATACCTAAGATAGCATTAATTGAAGGCCCTGTCAAACATAATGGGCAACATATCCATAATGAGCATGTCAATTAACCCCTGTAGACAAAGTTTGAGCGAATTCTGATGATTCAAGATACTAGGCTACCTAAGTGAAATGGTCATATTCCAACATGGTTAAATTTGTTTCAAAGGTGAATTAGTTAGCTGTTTTTGCCCACCAGACAAAGCACTACTCTCTTTGGCCACTTTAGAGATCTCGCTTCAAAAGACCTTGCAACTTTGGAATTAGAAGCCAACCAAAATCTTGTTTTTTCTATTTCGCTTTTAATGGTTGTGCTTTCACCATACATTACTCAGAATTAAGAAGACGAATCAGGCTCAAATCACTCCTACAAAATCTACGTGATCTATGCTATCGATTCATATAGATAACGTCCCCCAAAAATGTTTCTTTTATATAGTTAATGGGGAGTGGCACCACCCCATTGACTTCTTCGAACAGATCAAAAAGTTGCGTTTTTTATATCGTTGTTACTGCTTGACCTTCTTCTTTACATAGCAGAAGTTTCATATAAAACGTTTTTTTCAAAAGCAAGATATAATCGTTTTTCCTTACCTATGCAAATTTAAAATACTGGTAAAATACTGTGAAAATATCGGGGTACGGTAACTTGCTAAGTCTGCGCTACTGCGTGAATCGCAAGGGAAGGCGACAAGAATGTATATATTCGATAGCCTAAGCCTCGTAATCTATATCAAAGTGATAGCCTGTTTGGTCTTCTCTAGCCTGAGATATCGAAAACGAAAAATGGAACAAACGAGATTTTGGCTTGCTAGTAATTCCTTAATTTGGAGGTCATTTTACGTAGGATTCTTAATATGAGCAAAACAGTATTAGTTCTTTGTAGTAAGCGCAAAAAAATAGTTAACTTACCTTTGAAACAAAGTAACACGTTTGAAAACGACCATCTCACTCAGGTGGTCCTGTATCTGGAAGCCTCAGAATTCGCTGAAACTTGGGCCACATGGGTCATTTTACATGCTAATTACAAAACGATGCTCTTATGCTTTATAAAGTCAAACATCAATGTGCTAGTATCTTGAATGACGGGCCTATCTGACATTGTTAACGAATATCATGTTATGCGAACAGCGGACGCCTTGATAACGACCCCACCCCATCCCTGATTCCTCAGTACGACCCCTCAGATGTGGCATGCCACACGCCCCCTAGGAATGTGCCTCAAAGGCAGCGTCCCGGCAAAATGATGGGTACCGGGATTTTACAGTACTGCAATGGTAGACCCTCCAGGATAATCCATCAATAAAGTGTGGAGCGACAAAGCGCTTCTGGAAAGCCCAAAATCCGCTCCGGAAGTCTTCCGGACTCCGCCCGTTTCCGGATTCCGCCCACTTCTTACAAATTTAGAGCGGTCGCGGACACAGAGAGCTTCGAAAAAGCCATTCTGCTATTTAAGCGTTGAAGAGCTCATATATAATTGCAGCATGGCGAAAGGGCTCCGAAGAAGTGAAAAATTGGTGAGCGACATTTTGCCGGAACACTGCCTTTAAGCAATCTCAAGAGAACATTTTCAACGTTATTCCATCACATCGGTGACCATTCAGTAGGCTGGAGAGGCCTTCAACCGTCTGTTTTGTTTGCAACCACCATTTAACCTTCAACCAAAATTGAAAGAAACGGGAATGCTCAGATTCTCACCAACATATATATAGGTTTGAATGGAAGTGATGATAGGAAAAGACAGTCGAATTTTGACATTCACATCGATGAAACTGTGACAAATTAAAAGCAAGTTTTAACACGGTTTTACAATTTTATATTCAGATCTGTGCACTTCAAAAATCAATTCTGTTTCTATAGGACATCTACTCTGTGATAAAGAACTCCCATATTAGCCAAGCAAAAGTTTCATTATGGGGAATTTACTCTAAAGAGAATCAGAGAATGCTCACCACATTTACCCTTTACTACGATGATTGACAGGTAAATTTTTTAGCGCATAGGCAATCGAATTAGCGGTTCGATCTGTTACCATTTTTGAACGAAAGTAAGAATCTCTCAATTTACTTAATTCAACTGCATATACTTTGGAAGAGATACTTTTGTCATGCGTTATTTGGACCCGACTCTATGCAGTCTCACTTTGCAAACAGAATATGATAAAAAGCTTTTATTATTGGTGTATGTCTGAACACTTTGAAATTTTTTAATGTAGCAAAAGGAAACTTAATAAAGAATAGCGCGCATATTTTGTGGATTAATATTCTTGGGATTGATATCATAGCCATTGGTGAGAAATCGAGAGGAATATCTGGAAATGAATCATCACCTTGAACCTCAAGAATATCTTTTACAGCACTTATTGAGAAAACGCCTTGTCAGTTCATTGCATGGAAAGCTATGTCGTACAATCCATTTTCTTGCGTTAAGATCTCTTGTGTATTCAGCCATTACCTGAAGTTGTAAGGATATTCTAGCGTCTCAATAAGGAGATCAGAAATATTTCGATGAAACTGTATCTGAGACGCGATCTTAGCTTTGACTGTATATAGAGATGCGATAACCGAATACTGGGGTGTTCCATAATCTGTACCGTTTTTACCCCATCAGCATTTCACGAGAGCTGGGGATGCAAAAAATACCAATACACTATCGTAGTCCTGAGCCATGATCACGTACGTGGGAGGAGCTCAAGACGTCTAAGGGCGGAGCTTGCCATTTTACTCCATTCATTTGCATGGGGAAGTTCTAAAAAATTTTTGGGGCGAAGATAAGATCTATAACGATTGAGTTCGTTTTTGAATGCTATCAAATTTCAGCTCAAAACTTCACGTAGAATATGATTTGGGCAAAGACTTACAAGGTAAAGATACTTGGTCAAAGTGGTTTTTTAACATGAAATGTATATTATGTTATAGAGCATGAAACGCTGATTCCGAATCGGCTTTCGGTATCTGCAAAGCGCTTCTGGAAGTGGAGTTAAGGAAATTTTTTGATGCAAAAATTTGAAAACGCCGCTACAATAAAATCATTTATTTAGGCCGTGAGCTCAGATGGGGCACGATTATTACCGGAACGTTCTATGCAATAGATGCATTCAATCTAAGAAACTTATGCAAGACATTATTCTTTCAAGAACTGGAAAGAACTCAATAGCTGTTTTTACCTTAGCCAAACTATTGAGAATTTATCTCAGAAAATTCTCATAACTTCCCTCGCAGAAGCGCTTTGCAAATAAGGAAAGCAGATCTGGAATATGCGTTTTACGCCCTACAAGACAGTACACATTTCATATGGAAACGCCACTTCGACCAAGATCCTTCCCTTGTTAGAAGCCATCTTGAAGACCTTGCTTTGACCTGTCCAACGATTACACAAGCCGCATCAATTGAAGGGAAGATACGAAAAGACGACGATTGTAGTAAAAACAGTAAAAAAAATATGAGACACCTTAATAAAATTCAGCTACAGCCTGTGAAACATTAAAGGATTGGAAATCGCATCTATAAGACAGATACTAGCAAAATAAATCTTGATTCAAATAATTTGGTTCCTAGCTTTCTGTGCCATCATCTATCCTTACTTTTTCCCGCAGAGATCTTCCATTTCTACTTTTCATAACACTTGCGCTTTGACGTTTAGCTAGAAAATTAATTTTTTTCTTTACTAGAGTTCGTTTCACACTTATTTTATCAAACTAAATTTTTTTGGCGAAAATGCAACAAAAATAGAGAGAAAACCAGCAAAACTTGGACAGTTGCTCTACAGCTATATGGAGGACCAAAATTGTGAAATTAAGGAAACTAGTATTTCTTACACGACAAGCGCAAAAGAATTGTCACTCTTTGGTTGAGCATGCTGTTTCCTAGGATTGCAATTGAATTAGGATTACAAGGCTAAAAATAGTTGGTAAATACTTATAATTCAGTTGAGGATATTTGCAAGGGTCAAGTACATATTGCGAATTGAGTATAACTGGATTTTAAATCAAACTTTGCTGCTAACTCAATAGTTCGTCGTTGATTTTTAGAAAAAATTTCATCTAATTATTAAGAAAACAGTCTTCATTTGGAGCGGCTAATAAAGTGCGAGTTTGACTAGCACAGCAAGCTAAAGTAATTCAAAGGTTAGTAATTTGCAAAATGCTTATGATCGAATTTTAATTTGTTGTAAAGTCGCCTGCAGGAAATCGCCCGGGTTGCTGTAGGCTGAACGCACGCGCGTGCCTGCAACGCGGCTGAGTACGGGCTACGATGACTCATGCGCGAGTGCCAATGTTAGCGCGCAAGAGACACGCGCGCGAGCGCTCAGTCCGGGCGATTCCGTGCAGTCAACTATAGATACGATGAAATCTCTTATTTAAAACAGTGAAAACCTACTTCTATCAACAATCTAGACAAATTGCCAAATCTGAAATATGAGGCAGAGAGAGAGAGAAAAGAAAGAGAGAAAGAAAGAGAGGGGAGAGAGAGGGCAGGGTAATCAATGTTCGCGCTAAAAGATATAAGCGAATTATTCTGATTGTAGCACAATTCGATAGCAATTGCTCAGCAGTGCTCGGCGAAACGTATAAAGCGCGCCGAATTATGTTTCAAGAAAGAATGACAATTTCGAAGGAGAAATGACTTGGTAATTACAAAATGATGAAGAAAGGCGCATTCTTTTGAGTTTGTACTTTACAAATTGTGCAACGCGACAAGCAGATTCGGTTTCATATTTTCAGATTCAGATTCTTACATTTTTGACCCGAGGGAAAAAGATTTCCGTGATAAATAGGAGACAAGTTATCACCTCTTCCTGGGTTATTTGAAACAACGAAGAAACAACTGCTACTTGAAGAGTGTACCATGCTGTTGGTTGTACATTCTCGACGATTTTCGGACAAGGTATGATTGCTTCTCGTAAATCAAACAGAGCCTAAATGCTGATTCAGATAATTGATTGAATAAGAATCTGAAACTTACATTTGCCACAAGCGCCATGAGATATGCCACCAAATAGATCGAAACTCCTATTAATAGTGCAGTAAAGGCCATTGCACTGTAAGCCATTGGAATGGTCAAGTCTGCAATCGTAAATTACTCAGGGTACAGTAAGAACTGCAGAGGCAACCAACCATCGAATGACATGACTCAGAATGGATTACCGAAGAAGATGGCATCAGTTTATATTTATTTCGCACTCACTATTTGTCGTAGTTGAATTTGTCATTTTATCGTAGCAAATTGGAGTGTGGTGGTTTAAACCTTCTAGTGATGTAATTTGATCTCGCTTTTGGTAGCTGATTGCAAAATGCTAATCGGAATTTTCTCTGTCCTTTTCCCCGCGACAATTTCTGCGAAGTCTTTTTATAGTCACTTGTTAGCATCATTGTTGTAACTAGGCAGATAAAACCCTTTTTTGTAAGATCGTATCCTTCCCAGTCGATTATGCAAGCACCCTGCGTAAAGAATAGTTCGGCTGTGCGATAGTGTTTGTACCATGTACTCCGAAAGTAATTTCGCCTATTTCAAAGATCGTAACATCCCGTAGAATATATCCTCTAAAGCTGGTAAGCGCGTTCGATGCAGTTTGTCATCCACTTTCAGACTGAGTTTCTCATTCCAGCTTACGAGGGAAGCTAGCTAACTTAGCTCGCGCTTTTGAAATAAGACACATATATTTGGAATCAGCTTCGAACGCTAATGCCAAATATGCTGTTCCCAGATGCCGCGCATCATTCGCAACGGAGTTAGGAGGACCTCCTCCCCTAGACTCGCTCCACCGGCAAGTCTAGAGGAAACACAACAATAACTGCCAGAGGTCGAGTGGTGAAGTGGTAAGTGTCTCGCTCCATAATCTGATGGTCCGTGGGTCGAGTCCTGTTGCGTTTTTTGTCTTCTGCAAAGATAGTCCACAAACCCAAACATGGTTCACAAGTGTTCGATCATGTCTACGTGCATTTTTGGTGAGTGGAGTTATCATAAATCGAAGATGTTCTGCCCCGAGCTGGTCGTTGCTCATCTGTCAAAGACCTTTGGTTCTTGCGAGATTACAAGAGAGCCATCGAGAAAGAAGCAGAAAGTGACTAATTTCTTTACGTACATTCTGCGTGAAGCTATCACAGACAGTATGAGCATAGAATTGGAAGAGGATGAAGTGATGGAGGATGATGAGGAAGATCCGGTATTAACTGCGAGGATGATGGCTGCCCCAATTTCAAATTTATTCGTTGTGCTCACTGTGAAAAGCACTTGTGTTTTGAACAGTTTGTTATCATATATCATCACTGCTTATAAATAAATGTATATATATGTTTAGAGTGTTCAATCCGCTCAAAAATTTGCAATCGAAAACGGGGCAGCATTTGGGAAATCCAAAATGTAAAGTTCTTATGGCGAAACTAGTACGCCGGAATCTAAATACACTGTTAACAAAAGTGTATTCTGATGAAAACTTTTGTGGACTATCTTTGCAAAAGACGAAACACGCAACAGGACTCGAACCCCGGACTATCAGATTATGGAGCGAGACACTTACCACTTCACCACTCGACCTCTGGCAGTCATTATTGTGTTTCCTCTAGACTTGCCGGTGAAGCGAGTCTAGGGGAGGAGGTCCTCCTAACTCCGTTGCGAATGATGCGCGGCACCTGGGAACAGCATATTTGGCATCAGCGTTCGAAGCTGATTCCAAATATATGTGTCTTATTTCAAAAGTGCGAGCTAAGTTAGCTAGCTTCCCTCGTTAGTCAACGAGTTTTCGAAAAAGAGCAAAAACTACAACCCGTGGCCACGGCCAAGTTCCGCTTTTTTGTAAATGTTCACAAGAACCCTCCTGGGCAGTTCTACTAAGTGCATTGAGCACCTGCAGGATGCAAGACAATCTTTTAAACACTGCGAAACACATCTTTGAATACATGTTTGTCTGCGTTGGACGCGTATCTTCGACAAGTCTTCCTTGATCATATCAATTTTTTCACACAGCGAGCGCACTTAATTTCTGAAATAGATGTTGTCACTTATATATCGCTGATGCTGCGTTCGTATCTGTTCTTCCGGACTTCAGCGATAAATCGCATTTTGTTTTACTTTGATGCCTGACTGACTGCATCACTGTTACGTTTTGTTTTCCTCGCTACGATCAATTTAATATGATTTGCTGATTGCTCCTTTTAGCAACTGCTAGTAACGTTGCCAGAGTCGCTTGGTGCCTTGAGATGTAGCTTTCTTACGGACCAAAATTTCTTGCCATTCAATGTATATGAAATAGTTGATTCTTTGGTGATTCCCGTCAAAGTTGTTCTGTAGCAGGAATCAGCAAAGAGTCACTAGCAAATTTTTACATTTCAGACAACTAAATTAAAGAAATGCTTATAGTGTGACAAATCTAAAGTTTCGACCTTTTATTGACTAAATGTTTGTTTTTCAGCAGGAGTTCGGGGGTATTGTGCTGTCAGCGCATAACGTGAAGTTAGTCATAGAGGAGCTCTGCACTAGGGTTAGAGTTCTGTCAGAAGGCATCTTCATCTTTTATACTGTACTCCTCCACTTTCAGTTGTTTGTCGATGACTGATAAAGGTCGGACCAGACTTCGCAACGTACGCAGCGTAAGCACACTTCCATAAAGATATGGGGCATATGCTGCGCATCGCGTACTCAATCACACTGCGCAATCTAAATCCACCCTAAGTCAAATTATCCATTTCTGTTTTCGCTATTGCACAGTATACTTTGGCCTGATCCGACTGTGAGTTCTGATTGTGAGAACTTGTGAGACTAGGCACCAAACTCCTATAATGGATATGGCTCGCTCAATCGTTCATTGTGTGAGCGAGCCGAGTATTAGATAATCTCATCATTGGTTACTGCAAAGGCTTGGCAAGGCAAGGCAAGGCTAGTTTGTAGCCTCTTTTTCTATGATTGGAATTGGGCATTACTCAGGGTCTACCGTGCGTTGAAGGCAACTGTCGCCAGAGGTGCCAGTGTTACAAAACAAAGAATAACATACAGTAAGTACTGTAAGATTGCACAACGATACAACGTCGGAAACGCTCAACAGTTGCTGATAACGTACGATCGATCATTAAAAACCAGCATGTATATCACAGTGATGAGAATTTTGTGAATGACAACTTATAGATAAGCTAACTACGAATGACCAAACAGAGAGCACGAAGTGGAGACAATCGAATATGGAATGACTAGATTTTTTGCCAGTAAGATCGAGGGGAGGGGAGGGGAGTAAGTGCATTTATCACATTTGCCTCTCGAGCTTCCAAGTTTTGTTTTCCAGTTGATTTTCTTTGAGTTTTTTTTATGGTGGTGCTGAGGTTTCTAGGTTTTGTCGGCTTATTTTTCGGTTGTATTTCCGTCACAGCAAAGCACCCTGTTCTCAGTCATTTCGAGATGAAATCTTCTGTATTTAATGGCGACGTAATAATGCTTCCAGTATGATGCTAACTGCAAAATTTTGAAAAACTAAGAGTTTGAGGAAATGGAAAGTTAGTTTGAGATTTTGCTATATTTTTGCAAAGCAAGGTGGACATCACAATGCTACGGATGCTACTTGTTGTCGAGCTAGTGATGTTCTCAACGTATACATCTGTATACTGTATCTGTATACTAACATATGCATCTTAGTAACCAATCGCAAAGTTGCTTCAACTATCCATGAACATTCTCGGTGAGCAAGCTGTTAGTTTTACTGGATAAAGAATAGCGTGATTTTGGGTAAGATTTGCTGCCAAGTTCCTATGTCTTTCGTGGTGCTGGATGACCTCATACGGATGGCTTAGCCTTTTGGCTGATGAAATTTGTGAGAATTTCGTTTCTCCAGATATGTCGTACTGGCTTCCTCTATGGTCAATGTTGCCTCTTGATGATTTTGAGTCATCGTCTGAGTGCACATTACAGCTTTTCTCCGCGTATCCTGAACATGAGCAGTTCGCTTTGCAGTGTCGATATCTGCATGATTTGTAAGAGCTATTTCCCAAAAACTCATTTAAAGTAAAATGCTTTTATTCCTTTAATGCCTCCTGAAAGCACACGTAACATCTTCCTGGTATAGTTCAACCAGTATGATTTGGTTAGTTTTTTTTTAGAATCACATTAGTCCCTCCGATGGGATTCGTGTGTGAGAGATCGTCCTGATATCCGCGGTGCAGTGCTACAACGTTATTGATCCTAAGCTGTGCTTCCGAGTTCGACGGGTTTTGCGTTTTCTCTCAAAAATGCTTCTTGGCATAATTTGTACGCAGCTGGATATCTGCTTCTTTGAGTATTTTCTACTTGTGCAACTGGTTTTTTCATTTGTTACCTGGTTTTATACCTTCTTTCTCCATTCTCACATTATTATCTGGAGAAAAGCACAAACAAGAAACACTTTGTTGCCTAAGACTGCATCTGTTTCTGAACAGTGCAACACTTCTGTATGCACACACAGTTTGTTTTCTGATCAATGGCCAGGACTTCGCAGTATGCGGCTCGGTCCGCTAGAGTCAGACAACCCATACCTAGATACTTAAGAAGATTGGCCATCTTTCTCATAGGCAAGTTATCTTGAATACAAATTTGAATACAATTTTAAAATGTTATCTTTCTCGCCCGCCGACCTTATGAGCAGAATTAAGCAAGACGTCAGGCACACGCTAGTCGAGTACAACTCCACCCCCTTTCTTTTCCTCTTTTCCTTCCCTGTACATCTTACCTTTTGATCATTAACATACTTACAACAACAGAAAACAGTGGTAGTAATATTCATGACAGAAAAAAACCAGTAGATATGTTGCTGATCGGACGATTTAAAGAGATAGGAGGAAACTGGGAAGAGAGGCAGCTGAACGTACTTCCTTACAACATTACGACGCTCTAATTCAAGGGGAAGGCAGAGAAAGAGATAGGAAAGAGGGGAAGAAGGAGAGGAAGGAAAGCAATCAAAAATGGTAACTGCTGATGGCAACAACAAAAGCCAATGAAACGACCGTGATGAGAAGTGAAGTCTGCCGCGTTTCGCATTCCCGTAGAGAAACTTTGTACGAGATGCGCTTTTACACTAAAACGAAATTAAGAGAGGATAAGCGATTGTTATCACTTCTGAAAATGCAGTTTTACGCTGCGAAGGCTGCGAACGCCCGTTGTTTCTGGCAGTTGCGCAACATAACCTGTTTCCGGTGAACATCTTCTTTTGTATACTCCTACTTTGTCTTCTCCAGCTCTTGATCCCAAGTTTTAAATTGGGGCTGTTGTAGTATATTACCGGCGCCGATCCGTAGCTTTCGAGCAGATTCCATTTGCACTGGTGCACCACTTCGACTGAGCTGGAAGAGTTCAAGCAGCTTGTCTCCCCAAACGAGGTAAAAATTGTTTAGTACTTCGGTCTTGTTTCCTTTTCCTAAAACATCGTTCACGCTGCACGTGAATGCTGCGAGCTTTTCTGGCGAAAAATGGCATAAAACTGCCCTGAATGGAAGTTAGGTCATAAACTAGAAGATAGTTAAGGAACTGCTGCTCCCCTTATTGCGTTGAGCTTCGATTGTGCCCTTTTTATTTCTCTTAAACTAACCGTTGTTTTTGACGAACCAGAATCGTCGTACTTGAAGCGCATAACTTGCCCATCGTTTTGTTTATATTCTCAAAAGCGGGTGGTGACTTTTCGGGCATCCTCTGAGATTTGTTAACCTCCAAAGATAACTATAGAAACAACAAGATTAGAATTATGAAATTATTATAAAACTAAGTTAGGAAACAATAAAAAAAGAAAGTATCCGTTTCCTTCCTTCCCTCAGACGGATAAGTATGATTAGTAAGCCCACCCCGGAACTCATCAGTGAGGAGAGAACCCCTGTGTTAGCAAAAAATATCAAAAAAAGCCTCAACTAATCCTTATCCACGGCAGCATCGCTTCGATTTGGACGAAACGGGGCGAAGATGACGAAATTGCTCATCCCTGCAGTAAAAGGAATGATACTCAGTCAACTTAGCGCGTCATGATTTATGAATTATACGCAGCCAAATTCGAGAGTCAGTGTTGGATTGGAGCGTGTCGATCAATGAGGAGAAATTTATTAGATGAAGAATATCAACTGCCCATGTGTGTCTAAATGTTTGTATATTTGTGCATCTGTATATATTAGGTCGTGTAATAAGTTCTGTCCCATTTTTTGTTTTAGATTTTCTTGACAACATTGACAATATATGAGATGAAGTGTATATGCTTTCGAAAGCACTAAGTCTGCTCTGCGGGCTCATATGCATCATTCCCCAACATAGCAGGAAATTGGAAAAAGATTTTTATTAATGAAATAAAAAATCCAAAGAGCCGAAGAATTGGGTGGCGAGCAAGAGGAACGATAGCTGGTGGGGTGTCAATAACTCGCGCGTACATCAGCGTCATTTTTGTCCATCTGCACACAGAAATTTAAAACATTTCCTTCTTTTATGCTTTCATCGAGACAGGAGAATTGTATAGATTGTGTTTGCTTGGAAATGCGGTGTGAAAATCAGCTGAAAATGTCCAAAGAAGGTCTCAAAGGTGAGACTTCAAGTATTTTAAGCTTGTTCCTGCAAGAACATCACCAAATTGCACATACCACCGGGATTCAGGCAAGACTTATCAAGTAAGTTGAGTGAGCATTGATTTCATATCTACTATTTTTTATAAGTTCGCAATTTGTGAATTGTGAATGCATTGGCACCAGCGGCTGGCAACTGCTATCGTTCCTCTCACACCACACCCCCGAAGAATTCATTTTGACATCTTTTTCCTCCAAAATTTTCTCGATTTTAATTGGTAGAACTTGTTGAACAAGCTTGACAACAGCCAAAACAATCTATTAGACTTTTACACTTATTCTATCACTGTTTGCGCATGTTCCCTTCCTTCCACCGTCTATTTAATGATAATTTTTTAGGAGTCGGCAAGTAAGACTTTGTCACGGCGATGTTCGCCGTTTCGCGTACTCAAGCTATGCGGCTTCCGAAGCTCGAATTTTGAGTATTTAACCTATGAATTCGATAATTTTGAAACCACAAACCATCCCTTCTTTTTTGGATGATCCGCCTACCGCCTCCCTCTGCCTTCAGATGACACCAACGTTAAAAAGGCGTTAGAAAGAAGACCTTTCTAAAGTCTACAGAAATGATTTTCGAAGTTTCAGCGCTTTTGAAGCGCAGTAAAAGCTAGAGCATTCTTTGCTTACGTGCAGCAAATTTTTCGAGCTTATTCTTAGGCATTCTGACTAATTAGGAGGGCGACGTAACGTAGTTGTCGAAAATGGACTTCTTTCCTGTTTGATTCTCCAAATTTGACGCCGTAAAACTTCTTCAAGTCATCTGATGTAGAAATTCGAGAAAGTTCTAGTAAAGAAGGCTTAGAACTTTCAAATGCATATAAACAATTTGCAGAACATCGCGCAAAATGTTGAGGAAAAATCGAAAGAAAAAATGGGACAGAACTTATTACACAACCTAACATATCCAAGTTTATATGCGTATTTATGTCTGTGTACACATATACATGTGTGTTGCGTCGGTGTGTTGTGTGTTATGTGCTATATGTTGTGTGTTGTGTGTTAGTGTTGTTGTTGTTTGTTGTGTGCTGTGTGTTGTGTGTTGTGTGTTGTGTGTCGTATGTTGCAGGTTGTGTGTTGTATGTTGCGTGTTGGGTGTTGCGTGTCGGGGGTTGCGTGTTGTATGTTGTGTATGTGTTATGTGGCATGTGTTATGTGTTGTGTGTTGTGCGTTGCATGTTGCGTTGTGTGTTGTACGTTATGTGCCGTGTGTCGTGCGTTATGTGCTACGTGTTGTATGTATGTTTTGTGTTTTATATTGTGCTATGTGTTGTGTATTTTGTATTATGTGATGAGTTGTATGTTGTGTGCTGTGTACTGTGTTTTCTGTGTTGTGTGCTATGTGTTGTATGTTATTTGTTTATTTAATTATTTAGTACATGCAGAGTGTGCCCGAAAAAAAAAGCAAACATCATGTTATGTGTTGTGAGTTGTATGCTTAGAGTTTCACTTCCAGGTTATCGGACTAAATCTTGTCCTCGTCAGAAGCAATCTCAGCCTGAAGGACATTCCAACACCTCGCAAGAACAGTAATACTTTTTCATGTAAAAATTTACACAGCGGCCTACATCGCATTTTTCTTATCATGATATTATCCTAATAAATGTACCGGAATTTTCGTACAAACAAACCTGATCAGACTGACAGCGAATAAGCTAATTACGATGTTCAGTTTGTCAACTGTGCGTGCCCGAATCTGATCGCCGTTGAAGTATGTCGTATGTGAGAGTTTACCACCACTCTCGATTGGGTGGAGGACTATATGTCGCCGAATTTGGAAGAGTCCTGCGCGGATTCCCTGCAGGAACGCATGTCCGCGCATATACAAGGGTGCGCATTTGTCGCAAATGACCGCGGGGACCGCCCCTTTTCGGCGACATATAGTCCTCTACCCCTCTCGATTATATCGGCGAAGAGATGGCGCCTTGTTTTCGCGATGCAAATGCTTGTTATTTTTGGTGAAGTTAAGCAGAAACCTTACGCTATTAACAAAGCGAGCGGTGCATAAGGATGGTAACGAAGTTCGAAAAATCAACTTTAAGTAATTTTTCTGCGACTGATAAGTATACTTCCAGCGCCGACAGAAAAATAGCATGGTGTATCCTGGCCCTTAGGCCCGTCCGGCGAGGGGAGCAGCGTCCGCCGTTATAAAGGGGCCGCGTCGACCGCCGCTGCGGCTTTTTCAACACTGGAAACGCCGCTCTCCTCGCCGCAGGGATGTTAGTGCATATGGCCTTAGTAGTACGTGTCGCAAAGCTACTATCGATTTTGCACGAATAATGCATGAATGACCGGACATAACGATGAGCTCATAGTAAATTCTTTGTATAATTCCGTTCAGCTTTCACTTAGTAAGGCCAACCGCATTTTGGCGATATAGAACGGGTGAATTTTTTTCGGTGAGCAAATTATTCTAAACATCACTCAATCACATCGACTTTTTAGAGGAATTTCACTTTGCAAGAGCAGTTCTGAAATTCATGTTGGGTGAGCGATGGAAATGGATTGCGCGCGAAGATGTAATGCACAGTTATTTATCAGTTCATATATTAGGTTGTCCGGAAAATAATGTCGCATCGCGTTTTATCATGCAATATCACAGCAGCGTGCGCACGGACGTAAGCAAGTGGGGTACTAACCGATAGATCAGAGCAAGCTCTTCAGAATTAAGCTCGAACTTTCGCGCCAGATCTGGTTTGCGTGAAGCTTAAAGCCAAACTTCATAAGGCATTAAAGACCTAAAAAAGAAAAACATCGTATCTCCGTTCAGAAAAGTCCTGAAACTTCTCACTTGCTCACACATGAACTTAGTATACGAGACACTCGTACGCACAACTTCGCGGATTTTCCATGGCTGAGAACTGAGGAAACAAAAATCGGCATATTTTTGCCAAAGCAATCCTGAGCTTCTCTCACATGAGTGATTCTGTATGCTTTAGGAGTATAACCATGAATTTTCGGCTTTGAACAAGCGCCAGTTTTCGAGAAAAATCAAGTTGTTTGCAAAAAACCCGTCATAATCGCACTTTTGGCCTATTTTTGTTGGTCGTACTGTAGCCATGGAAAAATACCACAAACTATACAGGTGAAGTCTCGTGTGGAGAATACATGCCTGTGCAATTTGGAGATCGCTAAGACATCTACGGACGGAGATACGACTTTTCAGGTGTCTGAAATTTTTTATATTTGGATTCGAACTTCAGGTAGAGCAAGATTTTAGCGGAGGTTTGTGAAATACCTTGTAGAGCTTGCTTTGCTCTATCAAATGATACCCCACTCGCTAGTTTTTTTGCGGTCGTTTTTTCGCGGTAGGATGCCATGTGACATTATTTTCCGGACAACCTACAGTCGGTTTCCCGGATTAGGCGAGACATCCTACGTGGAGCAGCGCATGCGCATCGCTGGAGGCTTCGCTAGCGCATACAGTCTGCCCCAATCCTAACCAGGCCAAGATCGGCATGGCGGGAGTCCGCGCCGCGAGGGTTTCGCGCCACATCCGCGGTTAGCTAGTCTGCTCTCTCCTCGATCTCTTCACTCTCTGCGACAGCGTACGTATGCAGCGCAATCCCCTAGCGCTGCGAGCGCGCAAATTCAGTTGGCAATTCGGCCTGATCCCGATTGGGACAGACTGTAGCACTGACATTTTGCCAATCGAAGACTAAGGAGATTGAAGAGACGCAGACACGGGTTCTCAGCACGATAGGATATACTGTAGCTGCGAAACGGCGCGAACTGTTGCGAGGCGGACTCCCACCAGTCCAATTTCCGCCTAAAGCGGGTCGAAACTTACTGTAATACTATTGATGGTATCGTATTTTTATCGTGAGGTTGCAGATTTTGGGCGTATTTGTGGTTTGGCAAAACTCACAGTGTAGTTTGTTTTTAGTCGTGAGCGCTAGATAGCATCTTCCGAAAATCTTGAACACTTATTTCCCGTTTTCATTTGCACGGAAAGTTTACACCCTTTAGCTTTCAATTGAAAACACTGTAGTAAACAAGTCTTTGAAAAAGGTTGATTTTTCTTTGTCGTTGTTCAACGTGGTGATCAAAAAGCAGTCCTTGATTCATTTTATTACTAACTAAGCTTCATTG